ATAAACTATCTAGAGCCCCAAAAGACAAGCCCCAATTTCCTGTTTAAAACAGGATCTTTTTTAGTTAAAACACAGAGAAATAATTATTGTGAATCTCATTTTTTAAGTATTTAGAAATTAAATCACAGAAATCAAGCCAAACAAAAGCACCTTGCATAATATATGTTAAAATTATCTAGTTTAACCAACCTAGTTATGCATTTTTGGTTAACAGTTATAGTCAAAGTATCAGAGGGGAACCCCAAAACTAAAATTAAGACTGTCTTTCTGAATGTTATTTATGTTGTTTCATTGTCCAAGAGTTTTTTTGTCAAAATCAGGATATTGCTGCCTGTGATTTTCAACGCCCTGCAGCAACCATTCTCTTTGTTCTGGATCACTGGTTATGATGGTGGCAAATTCTGAAATCAGTTTAACTCCTCTTTCTGCGGTATCGTTTACAACTTTTACCGTACGAACAAATTTTTCAGCTTCTTTGTATCCTGGTTGCTCTGTCCACTGTTGAATTGATTTAGCAAGCCAATCTGTATTGATGCCAAGAATGCTGAACAATGAGTGAGATTCAGGTCCCAGAAGATTTGACAAACCTGTTTGACGAGTGATTTGACGAAAAACTGGCTTACCAAGACGAAAATTTTCGGGTACTGGAATTTCCAAGAGTTTGGCTGCCATATCTTTTTTCACAGTGGAACTAACATGTTTGCTGAAGAAAGCAAATGGAACTACCTCTTCTGTCAAATACCATCAGTGATTGGTTATTTTAAAAAGAATGACATCAGTAACTTCCTTGTCTATTTCTTTGTAGTCCATCATGTCGTGGATGAATTGCAGGTCATTCATAGGTGCATCAACACCAATTTTAGCTTTTGTCCAAGTTGGTGTGTGGAAAAGAGAAAGATATCTCTTCATTCTAAAAAGTTTGGTCGTCATCCTCTGATCATAAGGCAATTGTTTAGAAAACATGAACATTTTGTTCGCATAAATGTTACATGCCATCCACAGAGCTTGGTGGATAGCTCCTGGTTTAAGAAATGTACACCCCGCGGTCAAGTTTGCCCAGAGATGATCAGTGTGTTCTCAGCACATTCACGATAGTCATCTCTTGGAAATGTTGTAGCATCTTCGTTACCAAGTAGATGTGTCAAATGCTGTATGGTCTGTTCTTTGAGGTTTTGCAACCAGGTGCCTTCAACAGCTAAAGTTTCGATTGGCAACTGTTCATCCAATGCTGGCCAAGCAGTTTTAAATTCAGCAAAGAATTTATTCTCTGGACCAAAAATGTTTCCAAATAATTTCTTCCAACATGCTCCGACAAAGATTTCAAAAATGTGATGTCAACAGGCAAGATAGAAAAGTTTTCGACCTAAATTTTCTTTAATCAATTTAGCAGCACTATTGTGGATGCCACTATTACTGGCAGTGGTATCAATTACCAATGCCACAACATTGTTGCTTAGATCCCAAGCTTCTAGGAGATCCAATGTTGCATTTGCTTGAGTCTGTCCTTTCGAATCAACGAGAACGGGAACGCCAAGCAATTTTCCCTCTCTGTATTCTGGAGCACCCGACACAAGCACAGCTAACTGTTCATGTTGCACGTCTAGTGTGTCTTTTAGCAATTTTCCGTCCCAGTGAAGGGCACCAAACTAGGGTGGGTTGAGCCTCACATTATCTATAACACTCTTAGCAATCCTCTGTCGATTTATCATTCTAGTTTGACGAGATGTATATCTGGAGATATCAAAACCGTCCAAGTTTCCACCAGCAGCTTTAATTACAGCAGACACAATCATAGTTGTTTTATTATCAGACAATTTCAGCCTGTCTGCTGCAGAAGTGATTTCCTTGCATTGCATAATTCTTTTGGGGAGGTGAAGAGTAACAAATTCTGATCGTCTATTCATTGGAGGTTCATAATTCAAGTCCCACCCTAAACCAAT